AACAGTGACATACCGATACTGAAGTGGTAACTATTGTTATAGGTAAACTCGATCAATGGCAAATAGCCATCCCAACTACCCTTCCACTGGAGAACACAAACTTTCAACATGTCCTCCAAAGTCTGAATCGTCCTCTTAAATTGACCATCAATCTGTAGGTGATAGGCAATGCTGTATAACAACTGAGTATTCATGGCATCATGGAATGCTTTCCAAAATCTGGAGGTGAATTTTGGATATCTATCCGAAACAATGGTGACGAGTACACCGTGAAGTTTAACAATATTATCAATGAACAACTGTGTTAACTTCTCCAATGTGTAAGTCTATCGAATTAGTAAGAAATTAGTAGTCTTAGTGAGTTGGTCCACAATCACCCATATGCCATCAAATCTTGATCGTGTGCTCGGCAAACCATACACAAAATCCATCGTGATATCCTCCCACTTCCGAGCTGGTATAGGGTGATGCGAAATATATAAGCACACAAATTAAACCCTCTTTTTATCAATTGTAGCAAAGTATGTAAGTAGGGATCGTTCTAGGTCGGGGATTATGAGGGATTGCTAAAACACTTAAAACTGACTTAAAAACGTAAAACAAAGTTTAAAACACTAAACTAGACTCAAAGAATGCAAAACTAAACTAGAAAACACTAAAACAACTCAAAAGACTCAAATTTGCCTAAAAACACTCAAATCTGCCCAAAAACACAAACTGGGCAGATTTGAACTCTAACACTCTTTTGGATGAATTTTGGGTTTTCCTAGACTCAAAACACTTAAAAACACAATCTAAAACATATTCTAACTAGGTAAACACTCTAAAGTAAAGGGGGATTTGGTTTTGGACGAAAAGCAAATAAAATAAAACAAGAAAGACTTAAACAGATTCTAGACAAAATTGGGTGAATTAGATGGATGATTGGCTAGCTAGGAGGTTCTTCTCCACACATGTCACACTTGCATACAAAAGGATTTCCAATTGCTTTTCAATAAACCATGAATTCTCAACGCCTCAGATTAACCGTGAATTGCACTAATTAACCCTCAGATTTTCCTAAAGTTATTGAATCGGATGATTGCATATGACAACCCAAAGTATTTCCCATAAGTTTCCCACATGAATTGCATAATAGAGATACAAGCAAAGATCATTAAGTTCTATGAAAATCATAAGCATTGACGAGACACTTGTTACTATGAATTGCATGAAACTTATGCCAAGAATTTACTTAACGCGATTGTGATTAGCAACCTTTACTACTCATGAATATAAGTTCATAACAATTAGGTGACTCCCTTATATCCTAGCATCAGATTTATGCATGAAAATTAAGAGTGCACTCTCAACCAACACACACAAATCAATTTTAATTCATATAGATAAGAAAATTGAATTCACAACTTATGAAACACAACTGAAAGTAATCAAATCATATAGCAAGCATAAACATGGTTTCGAATCCCCCTAGCCAAGGGGGGTTTAGTTCCTCATACGCACAAAGCAAAGATAAACAAATTTAGACATTGAAAACCAAAGAAAGAAAACATCTAGACGCTCCAACTTGGACAGCAAGCGCATCCATGATTTCCTCATTCCTCCTTGCTGTAGCACAAGGCTTGGGGACAGGTTTTGGGAGTTATGTGTATGGAAGAATGGATGGGAGATGGTATAGTAGTATTTAGGATGGATGGGTGGTGCGGCAAGGGGTGAAAGTAATCAGGAATTATGGAGGGATGTGTATGGATGTATGCGGCAGAGAACGAAGGATGAATTTCTGGTGTGAATGACGTATATGAGAGGTGGTTGTTCGGCCAAGGCTGAAATATAGGTATATATAGGCACATAAAACCCTAGGGAACTCAGGTTAGGACTTGGACTTAGCAGAAAATAAAGATTAGGGCCCAAACAATCAAAATCCAAGGGGGAAAAGGTATAAGAGGTGCGGCAGGTATGGAAAGGAAGGATAAGGCTTCTAGAATGCCTTGCAATGCAAGGAAAAAGGGTTTCCTTGCTGAAATTGGTGCGGTAAAGCCCTAAATCTGAAAGGGATTGGTTTTCTTGTGTAACAAGGATAAGGAATGAAGGGATAGGGCTTCTAGAAACCCACAAACCCAAGGAGATGCACGACAAGGATAAGGAAGTGTTCTATAACCTTTCTTTGTGTCCAAAAATGCTTAAGAAACCATCAATGTTGCTGGAACTTAAGGCCATCTAGGTTTAGGAAATGTCGACCCAAAATAGGAAACTTTAGGCTTAACTTTCCTACTTCAAGTAGGAAACCTTGTTGGAGTAGGAATCCTCATTCTTCTAGGAATCCATCTTTAACTAGGAATCCTTCTTCAATTAGGACTCCTTCGTTGATTAGGAATCCTTCTTCAATTAGGACTCCTCGTATCTTCAAATCTTCAATTTCGTCCATTCATTTTGCTCCAAGCATGTGTCATTCATTCCAAGCTCAATTTTGCTCCAAAAGGCTCTAAAATGCACTACTTTGCATACTTTGCTCTTAAAACCTGAAAACACAAGAAATTGACTTAAAAGACTAACTTAAATAAGAAAACACAACATAAATGCACAAGAACTAGCTAACTAAGGCGCATAAATATGCTCCTATCATAGGGAGATTCTGCATTAGCCCTTCAGGTCCCTGTTTATTTGTTTTCACTTGTTAGCAAATTATACATCTCTTCACATACTCCATCACATCCCATTTCATCCCATACCAATAGTAGAACAAACAAATAGTGTGATACAATTTAGTACTCCTCGGATGCATAGCATACACCAAAATGTGGGCTTCATCGAGAATTTCCTTTTCACCACTTCATGGTCTTTAGGCACAAACAGCCTATTTCCCATCATCAAGGCTCCATCTTTTTGAATCTTTAAATCTCGCCTCGAACCATTCTGCACCTGTTCCTTTAGGTCTGCATACTATTGATCGAGCTCCTAAGCTTCCCGAACCAGGTCCACTAACACAAGCCTAATTTGGAAGTGCGCCAACAATGCTCCTTGTGAATCTAGCGTCACTGCAACATCGGTTTCTCGAAGAGAAAATAATAGCAGAACATGGATAGCTCAAAGGGAGGTAAGCTGTTCATAAAATCTCAGTGCATCCGCTACGACATTTGCGTGACCAAG